CTCAGTTGACCACTCTAAACTCGGGCACTGCCTTTCCCTGGAGGGTGTGTCCGAGAAGTTTATTTGAATATTACAATCGCGTTATACTAATAGCCGAAGCCGAGTTCGAGCACGCGGCACTTTTTCGCCGGAGTTCACTAAAGAAAGAGGTGTTCTTCAGGGTTGCCCTCTCTCCATTTCTATTTAACTATGTAATAGATTTGATTATGGACACAGCCCTATCCTCGTGCGAGGATAGTGGTATCGACATTGTACTGCTAAGTGAAGATCCAGGTAAGTTACAAGCATTTCTGGATCACTTGAATGCCAGCGTAGCCGTATTCGGCGTACGTTTTGTATCTTCAAAGCGTAAAATGTTACCACAAGATTGGGTTGGCCCAGCACTCAGCCTCACTCTCACTGGGGAAGTAATAGAGCAGGTGGATAAGTTTTGTTATTTGGGCAGCTACATCTCACCCGGTGGACGCACCACGAATGAAGTGTCTGCTCGCATGCAGAAGGCTCGGTTGGCATTTGCCAACTTGAGACATCTGTGGCACCGTCGTGACATCCGGCTGTCCGTCAAAGGTGGAGTGTATACTGCAGCAGTATGGCCAGTCCTGCTATACGGCGCAGAAACTGAGCCATTAAAGAGGCAGGATAAAGATAGACTCGGTGTTTGAACACCGGTGTCTAAGCAGCATTGCACGAATCTGGTGGGGTGGCCGGATGAGCAATGCTGAGGTTGGGTGCAGAGTTTTAGGTAAATGCGTTCCCTCACTGGAGCAAATGGTTGACCTCCATAGATTACTTCGGTTGGGAAATGTTATACATGTCTCCAGAAAGGTTACCAAGGCGAGCGATGTTCGCCAAGGCAGGTAGTGGTTGAGAAAAAGCCAAGAGAGGTCAACCTAAGCACTGGCATGAGAGTATGAAAACCCGAACCAGGAGTATGGGTCACTAGGCTCCTTTGCTGAGGACCTCGGGATGATCGTAACCGATAGATGGAGACACTGGGTGATATGGCTGAGTGTCGTGAACAGTGTCGTTCGTGCATCTCAATTTCTTTGCAGCCATAGTTTACTGGAGTTCTCAATTTTCTCTTCGTCTCAACCTTCAAATTTCCTGTCTTTTTTCTATTCTTCATCTAAATGAGTGGCCAAAGGACAGCAACCAAAGCCGGCGCACGACAGTGCATGATTAGTGGTTGTACAAACTGAACTGAACTGAACTGTGAGAACCCATAGGATCGGTTTTGCCGCGTACGGTCATACCATTATTCACGTAGACAATCACAAGCTTTCGTCTAATGTTCTAATTAATAAATCCCCGATTGTGGAATGGACTGAGAAGGCTGTACACATTAGCGTTCTTTAAGGATGGACAACCTTGTAAAGAGCGCCGGCGTTTGCTCGAATACGATTATGCTGCAGCTTTTTTGGTTGTTGCCTTTCGAATGACCATCTGAATGAACACCTAGAAGGAAGATTGGAAAGTTGAAAGCAGTGTCGAAAGAAAAATTAAGAACTCCAGTCCTCTAAGGTTGTAATGAAATGAGGAGATTCAGGAGCCACACTGATCACCACACAGCCATATCACTCGGTGCCTCTAACCATTTATTACAATGTTCCCGAGGTCTCCATCCAAGAAACCTAACGTGACCTATGTTAGCAAGTCTTATAGTCAAGTTTTTCATTCTCCGATACCAGATCTTAGTTGGATTACCCACGGTGTATTCATCCAAGAGATATCAATTTACACTGTGAGAACGCATTTGAAGGCGAACAGCTATTTTCCGTTTGTTACACCAGCTTTTTCATGGAATGTAGGATGAAGTGGCTTATTTTCGAATAGTCCTTCCGTCAGCCGATATTCAGTATGCTTGGATGGAATTGGAGAAGTGCATCGAGCTTCGCACCTCTAAGTTGTGACATCCCGCTAATCAAATATTGTGTGCAACTGATAGGTAGCGATGGTGGTGGAACAGCGTACGCTAAGCACTTTTCTGCAGAGTTTGAGTGAACACTAAAGGATATTCTGTTGATCTTCACTTCATGCATCACTTTAGATTTACTCCGAAATGCAGCCACAACCACCAAGCTGGAGGGAAAACAAAGTTGAATATCTCCCTAAATGGTGTGTATAGGACTACAAGCATTTTGATGTCCTTATCCAATTGTGACTAAACGACAATCATCAAATGCATGCATACACCACTTTAAAGAACTAAGAATAGAATACGCAACAGATTTGCAGATGTCCATTATAAAAAAAACTAAATGATAGTTTGGTCAGCTTACGCGCGTTGGTGGTCTCCACATTCCATAGTTTTGACATCCTCTTAACCACCGACCATACATTAACCCTACTTCTTCCAGACTCAACTGTGCCAATCCTCTCAGTTTGCTCTGTGATCCTTGAAGTTTTACCAAGTAGTTTCCGTAGTTATCAGATTTTGATATCTTATTCTGTCTGTATCTCTGTCCGCCCAAATGTAAACAATGAATCCATCAACTGCCTTTCAGGCTCTTATCTGGAACCAACGGCTCACACATCGCCGCAACAGTTTTGTACTAAACTGTTGCATAAGAAACGGGAAACTGTAAATACTTTATGCATTAGTGACCAACAGAATAATTGCTAGATAAGTTTTGTTTGAGTAAAAGAACGGACATTAAGGGTTGAACCCTGTAGAAGAGACAAAATGAGTGGAAGTACTGATCTGATTTTGCGAGGTAACTGCTCGACTGAGGAAAGTTAGTCATTAGAAGATCATCGTGGATTACATTCAACAAAACATTAATTTGCAACGATTGATCAGTGATGTCATAAAGTCTTTTGCCCCGTTGTTATGCAGCTCAACAGTCTCCTTGTCTCTGCTCTAGTTTTAATAATAAATCCCTCAGTCCATTCCCATATGCAGTAGAAAGCTACCAATCGTCTCTTTGCGCTCAGCTAAAACACTACTCACGTAGGTGAGTAGAACTTCACAACGGTAGTATTAGTAGTTTTATTTTGTTGGAGTAACATATCCTTTTTGAAAGTTTTGAACACATTGATTCATCTTACGCTGCAGTTTCTTATCACTAGTATTGTGTACCAGGCACAAAATAAATGGATTAGGCGCATCTCGTATTCGTTTTCATAGCCACACAAAACAAAACTATTGTCATGGGTTCCCACAACTCCCAAAAGGAATATCTCTTTGTTGTATGAGAGGAATGAAGGATGCTACTTGTTTAGATGACGAAGTCGTCGTGTAAACGAGGTGTCAGCTGAAAAGTTGAGAAGTACCAGACAACACAAGCACGCTACCCAGTGGGCCACCAGGCAAGTTGGATAGTATGCTTGCGTTCTACCTG